TAATTTTAACTTAATTAATGTGGCAGCTATGGCTAACATGTGGGGCACTAAGTATAGCTCTAAAGATTCTATGACTGAGTGATCAGGATAACATACCCCCAGTACAGTGAACACTTTGAAAGATAGATGTTTATAGCATCTCTCATAGACAATTTTTTTCTTTTCTTTTTTCCTATTTGAACTTGTATTAGTTGGTAAGTATAACATTTGAAATTACAAAGCATTCATTGTGATACATCATCACTCTAACACATTGCATGACCAATTGTATTTCATAATAAAAACCTGATTACTCTCTTCTCTGCTCCTTGGTTAACACCTGTAAAATTCTGCAGTGTCTCTCATATCTGTTATCTATCTTCTCTTTTGTTTTCTCACTTCTGCTCGCTACTCCATTTCTTCATTTACAACAAAGAAAGAAATGCAGTGATAGTTCTCTTCCTCCCAAAACCTCCGCTAGAAAACATTGGCCATCTCAAGGTAAATAGCCATGGGAAAGCCTGTCATGATTGGCGGGAATAATATGCAATACCAGAAAAGCATGAGCCACTGCTCTTCACCTTCCTTCTGCCGTCCATCTGAAGTGCTTTCCTAAAAAGGGCCATGGGTTCATATTCTCCTTGAGGTTTTCCAGTAGGGGATCCAGGATCAACCAATTGAGATCTTCAGGATGAGTAAAGGTGAACAGAAATACATATATTCCTTTTCCTTGTATTTTGAAGGCCAACCTCATTTCAGTTAGAAAAAAAAAAAATAATGTTGAAGAAGTTGCTTTGAAAAGCAGGGCAGTTGACCTGGATTATGAGTAATAAAATATTTTTCTTCGACAATGTATGTTTATTCATAAGTATAATGAGAACATTTGGCCTTTAAAACATTTTGAAGTGTCCTACCAAGACACATTCTTAATAACAGGGATACATCTCAGTAGGACCGGTATCTCTATTGAATGGTCTTGTGTTTCCTTATAAATACTCATAATTTCAATTTAGGCACAAATGTTTTATTATATGGAAGTTCTAGTATGATTATATCCAAGTGTCAAGTGTCAGTGAGGTGCTACTTTGGCTAACAAATATGCCAAAGCTTTCCCGACAGAGTAAAGAGTTGTGTAAATTTAAGCCTGCAACCTGTATGGTGTGTGTCTGTTTGTGACACATATAAAGAAAATTTCCTTGTACACAGAGCCCAGAAAATCTGGATTAAAGTGCTTTATTTTTTTTTTATTTTTTTTTTTATAAAAGTGCTTTAAAATATATAGAATTTTTTAAATTTTGTTATTCTGTTTGCTGATTTCCTTTGTTTTTTTTTAAAGGGCTTTTATTTTTATTTTTAAATATATTTTTATTGATTTCAGAGAGGGAGAGAAAGACAGAAATATCAGTGATGAGAGAGAACCACTGATCGGCTGCCTCCTGCACTCCCCACATTGGGTATCAATCCTGGTTCATAGGTCAACGCTCAACCACTGAGCCACACCGGCCAGGCAAGGGCTTTTATTTTTAATATAATTTCTTATTTATTCAGAAAATATTTGAGAGCCTATAATGTGCAAAGTTCTGTAGAGTTGCTGTATATGAAAGAATCAATTCATGGAAATAGAGGTGAAGAACTACTTTATAAATGACACAAATAATTTTCTAATTTGAACTTATCTTTGCTTTTAAATTTTTGTATCTTCTAATTCTACTGGTTGCCTTTTTCCTATGACTGGATATTATAATTGCAAAAGGAATTTATTAAGTTAAGGAAAAGAAAGTATTGTTTATCTCTTCTAAATTGAGACATTTTGGGGGTTGGTTTATCTTTTTAACTGACTTTCAAATGTGAATTGTTGTCCTCTTCCTCCTTCTTGAAAGCATATTTTAATACCTAGATGTATAGTGGTCTCATCCTGCTGCATTCCTTTTGAAACTGATTGCTTTGTTATTTTCAAGTTTAGGCAGTGAAGGCCCTTTTCTTGGTTATACCCTATGCCCTAGAGATGGGAATTGGTCCTTCTTACCTGCTTCTTAAGCCCGTCCTGCATGCTAATAGTGCTTTGGATCCCTGTCCTTTCTGGCCCAAAGATTTTGCTTCCCATTGCTTTTTCTGGGGAGCTCTCTGCTTGATTCTGGCTCTGGAAATAAGGATTGGCGCTTTCTTGCTAATATGATGGCATGAGCCACCAGATCATTGGGTTTTAAATAAAATATTAGTTAACTGTTATAACAAGCAAGTTTGGGTCTTGTTCTTTCCTCTCAAAAGACCTCATTCAAGGTTGGGATCCATTGCTACAGATTAGTAGCGACAGGTTGTTTTAGATGGGATTAGAGGCTGGATAGCCTGACCTGTAGTAATGCTTTTGCTTTTCCCACAGGCTCCTACCCAGAGGTTCTACCCAGTGAAACTCCCACAGCAACGCAGGTAGATGGGGCCGACCTGGCCTCTCCAATGTCTCCTCGAACTAGCAAAAGCCGTATGTCCATGAAGCTGCGTCGATCCTCTGGCTCAGCCAATAAATCCTAAGGAGACGAGCAGCCCAAGCAGAGATCAGCAGTAGCCACCTTAGCATGAACATAGTGTTAACCCTTTCGGGCTTTTATGTTTGCCATAGCATGCATGTTCCTTCCTGAACATTTATTGTAAAAAGAACACTGGATTTAAGTAATTTGTAACTTAATATTTTAGATTTGAGTTGTTTATTCACTTGGTTTTTTCCCCCACACTGCAAACTGCCTTGGGGGAGAGGGGCATTCAATATCCCTTCACCTTTCTAGATAATTATGTCTAAGAAGTTTTACTTTTAATTTCATGATTACCGTTGAACCAAAATAGAATGGTTCTCGTTATTTTATTTATCATGCCCCATTGCAACTTTATGGGCTCAGTAAATATATAATTTTTTTACAAATGTAAATTTTTAAATTTAAGCATTTGTAAAGTTATAGCAAAAGTTGCAAATCTGTTAATACACAGGGTGTGTATGGATTATTTATGTTATGAAAATAAAACATTAAAATAAATGGTCTTTTAGCATCACAAATTCTAACTGAAATAATTTTAGCATTAACTTTTTCTTCCCAAAGCAATGGCTCGTTTCTTGGCTGTGTGGTGACGCCGTGGCATATCTAGTAACCAGAAAAATCACTGTGTTAACTTTGATTTAAGTTTAGCTTCAATATCTTTCTAATGTTTTGCTTTTTAAATGGTATCACTGTTAAATGCCTCTTTTTTTCTTTTTTTTTTTTTTTTGAGATTGTGGCCCTTTATTATTGGCTGGTGGATCCTGGTGTACCTATGTTCTTTCTTAAATACCATAAAGGGGGGACTTGGGAGGAAAAAAGAAAAGAAGGAAAAAACTTTTCTGATATAAATGTGTTAATTAAATTATGTGTGTTTTTTTTTAAAAAAAGGAACATGACCCAGGAGTCCAAATTAAATCTAATATTGTTAATACTGAACTTGCAGGTGTAGTTGGTATACATTCCACTCTCCAGAGGTATTTTCCTACAGTAGATAAGCTGCTCACATTTTGCTCATATTTTGTTTTAAACTGGCATCTCCTAAGGAAATGTAGCATGGCATCGGTACTAACTGCACGTGTAAATACATCATACAGCAAACTATAAAATACAAATTATGTATCACCTTTCATGTAGTATCTAAAAATTTGTAACAGTGAAAAAAATATATAGTATTTAGTAATACAATAAAAATATTATCACTTATGTCCATTAGTGTTTTTGTCTTTTATATATTTTCAGATTTAATAATCAAGGCTATATAATTAATGGAGAGATGTGAAGCATAAATCTAGATTATCATGAAAAATGGGCTTGAATTTTCAGGATACACCCCTAACTTATTTCACAGGAATCCTACCACAATCATTAAAAATGCAGGAAATTTTATGCCTTCATAAGGGCTGGCTAGAAACTTCACCCAGTGCACTTGGTTAAAGCATCATTTTATCTCAGCCTCATGTTTCTTTGATTTCTTCAATTTACTTGCTTATAGTATGCATTCAGGAACAAAACTTTTATAGTTTCTAAAATCTGTGTACTTTTTTATTTTTTTATAAATAAAAAATTCCTATGAAACAATGTAGAAAATAAACTAAAATTCCTACAAAAGACAATAAACATGTCCCTCAGAACAAGATTAAACAATACAGTTTCCCACAACCTAGGTAAAGAATTACAAAGAGGAAAAATCAAAGTAACAGCTTACACGTTTCTACAGTGCTTTCAAAATTTTTTTAATGAACAGCTAATGGTTTCATGATATGTAACAAAATGGAGTGAAAATGCCAACTTGAAATAGCAGTTAATTAGCATAATTAACATGATTATTTTCATCTTAAGATAACCACTAGATTTTTTAAATTTTTTAAATATTTTTCTGTTGATATTTTGGGGTGGTAAAGTGTCTTTAAAGAATAGTGCATATTCTTTGCTTTTTGGAGCTCTATCTGCACAGCCATACTTTAAAGGAAATTTTTCCATTGCATTTCCTCACCATCACATTCATTTACAAAATATAATTTCTCCTGGCTGTAATCTAAGTGGGTCACTAAAATTATAAAGTAGGATACCAGCTTTGGGGAGATGTAGCTTTGAAAAATAGGCTGTGTTTAATGGAATTCTTAAGACAAACACAGAACACGACAAAGCACCAGCTATGGACATTTATTTGGTAGTGAGCATCTTATAAACACAGGCGGCCTGTCAAGCGATACTCACTCAGCTAGTGTCCTACACTCTGGCTCTTAGGACATGGGTACAGAATGTGCACCGGATATGGTTTACATAGAAAAGAAAATACTAGATAGTGAATGACTTGCCAGTCAGCTCCATTGTGGATTATAGGTATTAACATCTTCCTTAAACTGAACATAGTTTAATTTATAATACACAGTACAAGATTTACAACGGAAGTATCAAACAATTTGAATGAAACCCTACTAAAACAGTTCAACTTCAGGAAATGAGTTCTATATTCCCAAAAAGCTATTTTTTTTCTGGTTTAAAGTATCTCTTCCTGCCTACTACACACAAAATAGCTAAAGGTGAGAATCTTGGGGCTATGTCAGCTGCTTCCTGTCAAGTAGCTCACTCCCCACCTCCAAACACTAACTTAAAAGTAGACTAATACTGAGAAAAGGAAAGCTTACAGGGAGATCCCCACATCCCCCAAAGCAAAAAATATCCTCCTATTTCCTACCTACAGACACAGGTCTTGAATCTCCTCCCACCCCAAAAGTTTGGCACCAGTCACAACTTTTAATTCACAGAATATACAATGCAAGATATCTGACCCTATTGAAACAGAAACTAAATAGGTGCCTGCGATGACAAGAGGGAAAAAAAAATGACTGTAGACATTGAGACATGCACGCATTCACTGCGACTTTCCATAGGAATTACAAGTCATATGGGATTCATTAGGACCTTCAGAGTTTGGGAGGCGAGGGGGATCCTATTTTCATGGGGAAAGAGAAGGATTTAAAGCTGGCAGTCCTTGGCCTCGAATGTTTATAACCATCCATATACATAACCTACTCTGGAAAGGGATTTTACATTTTGCTGTCCGCTCCTATGTCAGAACATCGACTACTGAGACTTTTAGGAGAGAACATACAGGAAGGACATGAGGTAAACTTGCAAGTTGAAGAGAGCCCTACAGAAATTCCCATGATCTGTTTCCTCGCAAACTCTCCGGTCTCCGGGCCCTCAACAGCCTGGCCGCAATGGCATCTGCAGCAGCAGCACCTGCCGACTCTCGGAGGGGTGGCACTTGTTGATGTGCCGAGTCAGCCCCGGGGAGCTAAAGAAGGTGGACGGGCAGTGCTTGCACGAGAAAATCTGCTGAGCACTCCCGTCGGATGCCCCTCCTGGGCTCGGAGCTTCCGGGGCTGCCCCAGCCAAAGCTGGCAGGAGCAGCTCCTCCCGGACAGCGTGCCACAGCCGGTGCTTGTCCCTGATGTCTGCGGACGGGAAGTGCGCCCCGCACAGTGGGCAACTGAAGGCCAGTGGGACCCCGCGTTCGGAGCCAAAGCCTGGGGCAAGCGCGCGGGCCGAACCCGCCTCGTGAGTGCCCAGATGCTTGCGCAGATAGGCTTGGCGACGGAACTTTTTGTGGCAATAGGGGCACACGAAGATCTCGGGTCCCCCGGCACCACTGGCACTGCCCGGCCCAGGCAGTCGACGCCCCAGCACCCCTTCCGTGTAGGGGACCCGAGGCAGCGGTGCCTCGAGGTGGGACAACACCTGGAGGCCCTGGGATGGGGCGCCCTCTGGGCGCGGCTCCACCCCGGAGCTGTCCCTGGCCTGCAGGTGCTGATTTCCCGTCTGCTCTGCCCGGCTGTTCTCCTTCCCCTCCGCCAGAAAAGAAGCAACAGCCCCGGAATCCGGGGAGGACGAAGGAGGAAGCTTCGCGTCAATCGAGGAGACTGCGGCGGCGTTTGTCACTGCGGGACGCGGCTTGTGCCAGCGGCGATGGGAGGCGAGGTTCGCCGGGCAGCTGAAGACCTTATCGCACTCGGGGCAGCGGTACTCAACGCGAACGATGCGGGAGCAGCGGTGCTGCGCCAGCGCGAAGGGGTCCGCGTACTGTTCCTTGCACAGCTGGCAGATGAACTCCCCCAGCGGCGTGCGGCTGCCCCCCAGGCCCCGGGACGGGGCTCCGGGCTCCTCCTCCTTGATCTTCAGGCCTAGGACCGGCGATGTGGTCACTTCATCGGCGAAGCTCAACTTCCTCATGGCCTTTGGCTTCTTGACTCCTGCGGCCGCAGGCCCAGACACGCAGCCCGGAGGCGCCTTGGCGCGGCGTTCGCCGGTGGCGGGACGCTTCAGGCTGTGCAGGGTGGCCGAGGGCTGGGCG